AGACTAGGGTCCATTACAGCTATTGGCCTCCGTGAGTCAACCGCATACGTCATTTATAAATCGCTGTTAGCTCTGAAATGACATCGATACTTTATGGATATCACAAATAGCCCATTTGAAAGCATGGACTCCCTTGAGGATGCACGTGAGATCGATCAGAATCACGCAGCAATCTTATCTTCAGCAAGGCGACATCGCTTCGACTATTGGTTTGGGATTTAGGCTGACCTCGCTTGTGCTCTCTGCTTTTGGCATGTGTGTAACTACTGGGGTGTTGCGGGAAATCACCACTACAATTTTGCAACAAAATGGACGTTGTACAAATACGATATGGTGTGCAGCATGCAAGTGTTTGCATATGCCCGATAAAGGCAGCATCACGTGAAACTCTCCTTCCAGGTCCTGTCGTCTGCACAGCATGTGAGATGTGGCTGCGCCCATGGCTTTTGTGAAATCCTGGGTGTACTTCTGGTGCCAAAAATACGCAGACTGATGTGTACGTTACATGATATACTCTGAATCCAGCGCCAACTGATCAAGCCTTTCCAAACACATGTATACAATGTCAATGGGTGGATCAGGGCCGTTTCGTTGCCGCCGGACGGAGGAGCGGCGAGCTCCGGTCCCGGAGTTGCCGTCAGAGGCCGGCTCTCCGCCGACGGCTCGGCCGAAGGAGCGGAGGAGCGGCGAGCTCCGGTCCCGGCAGTTGCCGTCAGAGGCCGGCTCTCCGCCGACGGCTCGGCCGGAGGAGCGGGGGAGCGGCGAGCTCCGGTCCCGGCAGTTGCCGTCAGAGGCCGGCTCTCCGCCGACGGCTCGGCCGGAGGAGCGGAGGAGCGGCGAGCTCCGGTCCCGGCAGTTACCGTCAGAGGCCGGCTCTCCGCCGACGGCTCAGCCGACGGCCGGCCCTGACGGAGTGCGTGATGAAAACAGACGCCAGCCGGGCCAATTGGCAGACTGAGAGAGGTGACGTGCATCGAGCGTGTCGTGCTGCAGCTGGCGGGCCAGCGCGTGCAGGGCCGGCCGCGAGGGCGGGCGGGCCGGCCGCGAGCGGGGGCGCGGGCGCGGGCGGCGCTGACGCCGTGGTGTGCCGGTATCTGGCCGGTATCGCCCGCCGCGAAAGGACGGTCGATGGGGACGATAATCCCGGCGGGCTTTGCTCTGACCTCATCGGCGCAAGGTCCCCGAGTGGCTCGCGTCAGGCGCGGCTTTGTCCGCCAGCGTTTATCGGTGTTCTGAGAGGAGTCATGCGAATCAGCCCGCGTCCGGGTGTGGCTGCCCTGGTCCGTTCAGCTTGGAGCCTGAGGTCAGTGTCCGGTGCTGGTTCAGGTGCTCATTAGGTGCTGATCTAGGTCTGTGTCAAAGCCTAACCTGAACATCTGTCAGAGTCTGGCCCGGGTCTGCATGAGCTGCTGACCTGGTCCGTGTCAGAAGCCTGGGGCCGTGTCAGACATCTATGTCCGTGCCCAAAACCAGCGCAAGTTCGCGCGCCACCACAAAGCACGGCCGTCGGACTAAGGGGTAGCACTCCCCCCCCCCCCCCCCTCTCCCTGGGATTTGCTGACCCAGCCCTCCTCCGCACCTGCCCGATAACAATGGCTCATGACTGCGATGGAATGGCGGCGCAAAGTCCGGTGCGGCTCCGCTATCGGTGGCGGCGGCGGGGTGCAGTCGTGTGGGTAGCGTCTCAGCGCCGGCCGCCGCCCGCCGCCCGCCACACCTCCACCCGGGACGGGTCCCAGCTCGGCGGCGCGACCCCCGTGGCCTCGCGCTGAGTGGACAGCTTCTGCAGGCGGCCGCCGTGACGCCGCATCGACAGACACAGCGCGCCCGGCGGCTGAAACGGCGCTCGCGGCGTTTGTGGCGCGGAACGGATCGTGTACCGAGCTGTGCGTCGCCGTGCGGCGAGGGGTGTGAGCGCGCTGTCAGGCTGCGCCAGAGGCTGGCCGGGGCAGGCTGCGTGAATGTGGAGGTCGTGACGTTCCGAGGCTCCTGGTGAGCAGGGAGGCGCTCGAGTACTAGTTGTTCTGCGGGAATTGAGGCACACGTTTATTTATTTACGTGTTGGTGGAAGACTGGTGGTGGAAGACATCAGTGAAATGAACGGATACGCCATGGACATACCCAGTGAGTACAACAGCCTGATGAGTCAGGCGTACAGCCTGCCAAGTACCGATCTCATCCCCACTGTCAAGCTAAGAAGCAAGAAAAAGGATGACAAGAGCAAAAAAAGCGCGAACAGGATGTCGTTTAAGGAGCCTGCGTCTAAGAAATCCGGCGGTCTCGGCCACCGCGACAGAGCCGCGAGCTGCTTCGACCTCAGCCTGGACCCGGACCGGGTCGAAGAGGAGTGCGGCGGTTTCAAGCGGCGCTCCACGCTGCGCACGTCCCTGTTCTCGAAGGGCGCCCACCTCGGTCGCCGCTTCATCGAGGCGCACAAGTCCCTGACCTCTCTCGTGGCTGTCTCGGAGGCGGACGCCACCTCCACGGCCCATGGCGAGGGTGCCGCCGCCGTCCGTCCCGGCAGTGTCAGCAGCTCTAGTGAGACCAGCCGGCCGTCGTCAGAGCGGGGCGCAAGGAAGACTTCGCCGCCCGCCGCCTCGTTACCGGCCGCCCCCGGCCGTACAGCACCGAAGCTGTTGTCGCTGGGCGATGTGCGGGAGGCGTACCAGCGGCGGCGGCGACCGGCCGAGGCGGTGCGGCGCGGCAGCTCCGGGGTGGAGCGGCGCTGCAGCCAGCGTGTACGCGCCGTGCCGCGCTGCAGCGAGTCAAACCTCAGCTGGCGACGGCCGCTCACCGACCTGCTGGAGACCAGTGGCCTCGAGCTGCAGCCGGAGCGAAAGACGGAGCCGGAGGTGGAGCCAGAGCCGGAGCCGGAGCCGGAGCCGGAGCTGGAGCTGGAGCCGGGGCCGGGGCCGGGGCTGGGGCCGGGCGGCGACTGGAGTGGCAGGGAGCCGTTGCAGTCCGAGGCAAGTTTTTGGTACGGCTGGCCGATCAGGATTGGTGGCCTATGAGGCAGACGCCGGCGGGGTTTCGATCAGGATTGGTGGCCTATGAGGCAGACACCGGCGGGGTTTCGATCAGGATTGGTGGCCTATGGGGCAGACACCGGCGTGGTTTCGATCAGGATTGGTGGCGTATGAGGCAGATGCCGGCGGGGTTTCGATCGCTACCGCTAGCGAAGGGCTGTTTTCAAAAGCCAACACGCAGGTAGACTGTGCAATAACTTGAAACCTGCTGCTAAACATTTCGGATAACTAACCCAAAGCTTGAACTGGGTGTCAAGCGGAATTAGGTATGACCTTCCGATTTTAGCACGGCTCCAGCTAACAGCCTTCTCGGAAGCCTTTCAGTTTTGGTGCGTTCCGCCCCTTTGTTCCTCGCGTCTGAGTATTGATGTGGTATTCTCGGCACCGGCTCTCCTAACAAGCCGTGTACAGAGCCGTGGGGATCGATTGACACATCATCACGGCCGGCTGCCTCCACCCGTCGCTCCGCAGGTCTGCCTCAGGGGCCGCGCCTCCTCCCTTGCCCGCTAGACTGTAACGGCACGGAGGCCGGACCGGCGGCTTGGTCTTTAGTTCTCCAGCTGGCTGTTTATCGCCGCCCGACAACGCCGGTTTGTCGGGCGGCGACAGGCGTTTATCAACGGCGACCGCGGCGCTTTTTTGGACGAGGCCGACACGCCCCAACGGCGGCTGCAGCTTGAGGCCGGGCTCCGCTGAGGCCGGGGCTCCGCTGAGGCCGGGGCTCCGCTGAGGCCAGGCTCCGCTGAGGCCAGGCTCCGCTGAGGCCAGGCTCCGCTGAAGCCGGGCCCCGCTGAGGCCGAGCTCCGCTGAAGCCGGGCCCCGCTGAGGCCGGGCTCCGCTGAGGCCGGGGCTCCGCTGAGGCCATGCTCCTCTGAGGCCAGGCTCCGCTGAGGCCGGGCTCCGCTGAGGCCAGGCTCCGCTGAGGCCAGGCTCCGCTGAAGCCGGGCTCCGCTGAGGTCGGGGCTCCGCTGAGGCCAGGCTCCGCTGAAGCCGGGACCCACTGAGGCCAGGCTCCGCTGAAGCCCGGGCCCCGCTGAGGCCGAGCTCCGCTGATGCTGGGCTCCGCTGAGGCCTGGCTTGGCTGATTGGACCGGGGCCTGATGGACAGGGCGCTGCCCTGCTCGGGCCAGGCTAGAGCCGGGGCATCGCTGTCACGCGGCGGAGCTTCGCACTCAGCAGAGGCACTGTGGAATGTTCGACGTTGGTTCTGACGGGTCATTGTAGGGGTCACGGTGATTTTGTGTCCAGTGCGCATGTACTTAAAGATCAATTAGCTAGTAACAGCCCTTTATCCTCTGCATGGCTTCCATGAAAACAGTGATCCCCCCATGTACTTGATACACGCCTATGCAACGTAATTTTGCTTAGGCAGGAAAACGAGGCCGGCTCTCAATGGGTAGGGCGTCCTTACTGATAAACATGGCAGTGCAGTCGAGTAAGCCCATCCGGTGTCATGGTATGGCCGGCGATGGAATGCGGTACCAGCAGGCGGTCACCTCATGACATGGCCGTACTAGAAAGGGCGGTCGGCAGCCACTACCGTCAGCCGCTAGGGTGCGTTCCGTAAGGCACAGGACACCGTAAGAGTAGAACCCAAAGCAAGCAGTGTCTATGGTGGTCAGGTAAAATCGTCGAGAAAGGAACAATCGCAGTGCCTGAGTGAGGCCGCGTCTGTTCCTTGCAGTCAGCGGGATAGGCTGACACGCCGGGTCCATGTCACTGTATCCCTCTAGGCTATTGTAATAGTCCGTACATGTGCAACGCCGGACTTCCGGTGGTAAAAATCCGGGCAATTGTTTAAGCTGCAGAATGCTTCGTGTTTTGTGTTACTCAGTGTGAAACTTCCTTTCGTAAGCTTTGCGCCGTTCGAATCTGCGACACTCCAGCTGTACAAATTCGGAGCCCGTTTCAGCTGTGCTGGTGGTGAGCAGCCTGGGTCCTCTCGATGGCTGCTGACCGGCGCGCCTGTTTCAGATTGGGCCGAGCCTGTGCAGTCGGACGTCGCCGGACGCGGCCGAGGAGAGGAGTCGCGTCCGCGGCCGGCCGCAGAGCGAGAACATCGAGCTCGCCCTGTCACCCGGTGAGTTTGACGCAAGGCAGCTGAGAACCCTGGGATGGTTTCAGCTCTCGTTGAGAACGTTAGGGTTGCTCAGTTTTTGCTGAGAACGTTGGTGCGGTGTAGTGTTCCCTGCCGAGAACACTTGGGTGGTTCAGCTGTCCTAATGAGAATGTCGGGACACCTTAGGCCCCGCCGAAGATGCTAGGGAAGCTCAGTTCTCGCCGAGAACGCCAGAGCGGCTCAGCTTATCCGCCAAGAATGCTGGGGCAGCTTACCGCCCGGCGAGGGCGTAGCGGCCGCTGTCGTACCAGTACCTGTTCCACAGTCCCACCCCCGGCGCGTGTAGGCTTGGTTTGGCATACACGTACGTAATCAAAACCTTGCAAGAAACAAAGCTGTGCATGCAGTAAGCCGCAAGGTATAATGATATGATTCAGTCAGATAATGTCACGCCAGACAACAGGCTCAGTCATACCTGACTTGGTTTTAGGGTTTCATAGATCTTATGTCAGCACCAGATGCACTCGCCACGCTGACAGAGGCGCTGGATAGTGAGTCTCGATTGGTCGACCCGAAAGCCGACGCTCTGTTTGGTCCGTACGCTGCACTCAAGGCAGCGGCACGTAAAAACTGCATCCCTAGTTGATGTTCCTGCAACTGATTTCTACGACACAGATTGGCTCGTATGTCTGTCTCCTGTCGCGATAACGTCGGGCCGCCTTGCCCATATGCACTGTTAGATGTCTGTTGGCCCGGCCCAGCGTCGACATGCATTCGCCAGTGTCGGTCTGTTTCGTTGTGTGGCTCCCTACGTGTGCTTGCCCGTAACGGCTCGCCCGACATATGCATCCATTGGCCCGTGTGTCGGTAATATTTGTTCCCGGAAGTGCAATGTTTCTACCTTTGTCAGAGCCGTACCCCAGGTGTAATCGTACAAAAGGCAGCTGGGGTCAAAAAAGCTGCCATAGAAAATTGTGCCGGAGAGGATGTGACGGGGCATTAATATACAAATTTCGGCTAAAATCGCGCTGGAGCAGCACATGTGTGCTGTTTCAAGACAATTACATATAAACATACATGCAGGGCTTTGGTAGAAAACCTGAAGAGCGGCTTCTAGAAAACAGATATGAATATCTAGAGAGCCCTATGTGTGCCATGAGCCTATGATTTAACCTGTCTGCGACCGCGCTATGACCTGACTGTGCTATGAGACTATGAGCCGTATGAAAACCGAAGCTGTACGAAAACTTCTAGAAGAACCAAAAGGGTTTTTTAGGTCCCTAGAAGCCCCTACAAATATGGCACACATGGCTATACGCAGATTTCGTTAAGACGTACAATTCTAAAAGTACAGATAACTATGCGTACATACATTTATACACATATATGTGTATCTGTATATATATATATATATATATATATATATATATATATACACATATATACTCATGCTCCAAAGGTCTCTGTTATTTGGCTCTCCGGTCTCTTTATCTTTCCTACTTCTGCTTCCTTCTCTAGCTATCACCTGGGTGGTGCGCATGTGGTAAAAATCTCGTGACTGCGGACGTAACTTGAGATGCAAGGTCCAAAAACTCCGTCTTGAAAGTACTGTTCACCATCGACAATGTGTTATTGTTTTCAGGCTGGGCGTTTCAAGCAAGGATCTTTTCCTCTGCCCGCTTTATCTTTCAGCCAGATCTTAAGCATGATACCATGCAAGCTGTACTTACACTGATGGAGCGACAGAGCTGTCAATGATTGCAAGGAAAAGAACCGCACAAAAGGTGCGAGAGATGGAAGACGCGTGTGAAACCACCTTGCCGTAATGTGTCAGAATATCCGAAAAAACCGCGACCCTAGATACTTAAGCGTGTTATGAAATAATGTGTTCCGGTAGACATTTTGGACCAATACCTACTGGTAGTTGATGTGAGCACGACCTGGGGCGTCAGACCCGTGGACTTCCGAGACGACTGGACTTGTGTCATGTCAGGTCTACCTGCTCCCAGATTCCTTAGGTGTTCGCTTGTTCCGAGGAACTGTTAATACGGTTTAGCGGTGCGACGTTTCAACACGCTGCTGCTGTGCTTTTAGTTTCTGCAGGGATTGTGTGTCCGCAGCCACCTCCGTAGCGTTGTAAGGACGGCTGGTCCATTTATCGCCTTTGTTCTGTGCCATGCCTTTGCGATTGTATGCGCCACAGGCGGGCGGCCCGAGGCGACAGTGGCGGCACAAAGCGAGCCCCATAACCGGCCCCATTAGGTACGACCTCTGCTGACCGGCGGTGGCTAACCATAGCCGGGTCGTCGGGGCGAGTCAGCTGAGCCATTCGCCGTCCGCGTGGCAGTGGCGTCCCCATGGCAACACGGGACCGACCGGCAGGTCAAACGCCAACACCGGCCAGCCCTGACCTTCCGTTGCTCGCCGCGGCTGTTTGCTAGGGCACAGGAGCTGGGGCGGCAGAAATAGCCTTCTGCGTGGGGGCATTTAGCCATGCAAAGTATTTGTGTAACAGTTTCGTATTGTTTCAAAAGCGCTACCCCACCCCACCCCTTCACTGCTCCAGCTGGTGATGCGCTCCCGCGTCCGAGCTGACAGCGATCATTTGCAAGCAGCTAGACTGCGGGACCACTTTCTCAGTGGTTCACATGTGGTGTGGTTTTGCGATAGAGTGGATGGCAAGCGCCGCTGTCTCCAGCAGATTTGGATGTAGCCGACATACCGCCCAGGGTGCTTTCCCCGCGATGCTGCCAGCACCGCGCCCGGCTCCAAATTGGCGCCCGCTCAAGTTTATTAAAAGCACGATTAGCAAAACGTCATCGGGGACCATACAAGCTGGCATTGTAGCTCACTTTTGATGGCACGTGACGGCAACGAGGCGTACGTGACGCAAGCTGGATCAAACGCCGGCTTTAAATCCGCAATATGTGGGGTTCAATGGGTGAGATTTACAGGCATTGGCTCGCAGTAGATTGGTGTCATGTTATAGGAAACGGAAAACTAAGGGAAAACAGTAAAATACAGAAAACAGCTGCAGTACCAGCATTTCATCTCTTAGACCTCCGATCGATTTCTGACGCGTGGACATTTTAGACGTGGTCGCGCGGTGGGTGAACAAAGGTATCAGTGCCTTTCGTGTCTTGTCTACCTGGCGTCTTAAGCGATATACGCTAAGTTCTCAGAGGCGTGGCCGCATGCTGGAACTAGGCGGTGGCGTCTTGAGTAAGGAGTAGTGTCATGATCTACCACCACGTGGCGCTAGTATGGGTGGGTCAAGTGTTCGGCAATGATAATCGGCGCGTTCGGCCGTTGGATGATCTGGGAATATTATTCAGAATATTGGAAAACTTTCGGAATGGTGTTCGCCACTGCCGACACGGAAAGTCATCCCGGATAATTTTCCGTGCCGAGGGAGAATTCCGGAAAATCTTCAGAGCATGGTCAAGACGGAGAATCTGTTTTTGCTATGCATAGCCGTGATCGTTGGCTGTGCATGGTGCATTCGATGCGAATCTGGGGATAATTTCCAGACGGGCCAAACGTAAAAAGAGAATCTCCGTGGATGATTATCGGAGAGATAGTTAGTCGGGGAATCATTTTTCCTCGGCCAAACGCGCCCAGACATTCAATCTTGATTACCTTAATTTCATCAGATGCATTGGGGAATATAAGCGCACGGAACTGATTATAAGCAAAGCGCAGGCATGCTGGTGGTTGGCAACATTATTTGTGTGTTTCACCCAAATAGTCCGTAATATGTGCTTGATTTGACACCTTACGAATCAGGTCTAATGGGGCCTAGAGCAACTCACGACCCTTCGATTCGCGGTAAAAACATGTTACGGGCTTTGATTCAATTAATCATCAATTCAAGATATCTAAGTCGAGCTAAATAGGGCTTGATTCAGCGGCTGAGTCGATGTGAATGTAAGCAATCAAAGTGAATGTCGCGAATCAAGAACATAGAGGAACACGTGGTCATGATTTCGGAACCTGTCCATACCATATCCAGATAACCTGCAAGGTATGCTGATTGAATTTGCACTACAATTTGTTACACTGCAATGAATTGGGCAAGACCTTACCAGTTCTCTCCTTGTGTGCGAGGAAAACTGTGTCCAAACTGTGGAGCACAAAGCATTCATCTATAAGTTTCCACTTTGTGCGATAAGTTTGTTTTTTATAATTTTTGCATTTGTGCGCTAAGTTTGTCACAACGCCGTCTCATGAAGACATGACGCAGCTTGCAGCTCGCTTCACTATATTTCTCCGCGACAGTAAAAATGATGTGGCCATGAGAGGCCTGATCGGACGCTCTTTTGAACCAACGCTTTAGTCGTGAGAAATGTCTCCACCCTGCAGGTCTTGCGAATCAGAAGATCGCCAGCAACGCCTTCTCCCTGCCAGCGCAGATCGACTGCATTTCAGACATCGAAGACGACACCGCGCAACACCAGAGGGGAAAGGACGACTGCCGGATGTGAGTACAGCCGGCTGTGATCTACAGCGTCGCCCTGTGGCCAACAGCGCAGCGCCCTCTCCCTCCTGATGGACGGCCTCCGCCCGGTCGTCGGCACCCGCTGCGCGCTTTCCGCAGCACCGGGGCGGACGCGGGCGTGGTCTTCGGTGGCGCAGGCAGGCTCACGTTGCTCCCGCCGTCTCGTGTCGGGCCGCGACGGCAGCGCGACCCGGAACCGAGCCTTCGACCCGGACCCGCACCCGAGACGGGTCGGGGATCCTGGCTGGAGGTGGGCGCGCCGACGGCGTGGCGGCCCCCCCCCCCCCCCCTCTCCAGCGCTGCCTCCTCTTGATATGGTGTTTGATGCCAGCGTGGTGCACACCACCGCGCGGCCGTCAGCAGGTCTGGATGCGCACGTCAAGCACGTCAGCCATGTTTCAACCCTGGAAGACTGGTCGTGCGGTGCTGAATCTGTGTGGAGGACACGTCTCTAAATGCTGTACAACGGGGGCCACGCGTATGGTTTAAATCTCCGTGGGCCAGCTCTCGCATGGCCCTGTAGCAAGAGCTCCATGTGGTCTAACGCTAAGCTGAGCACTGCTCACGTCTTTGGCGCGCACACGGATAAATGTGTACCGTGCACCTATTGCATGATTTGGTATATGCATGATATGCGATACGCGTCATATGTCACGCTACACGAAAACTCATTCCTGAGTCTGCCTTGCTTTGCTGCAGAAAACCTCAAGCATTTACTTTAGGACATTTGCGCTATTGCTGAAGCGTTGCATGACGATCCATGTGTTGCAGAGATTTGAAGAAAGAAAAGAAACGAAACAAGCTCACTAGAAGGAAGGCTTGCTATCGCCAGAAAAAGGACGTGAGTACATTTCACACTTCTTAAAAGCGCACGACACATATTAGTTGTCATTCTAGATCAAACGAGAACGAGACCACCATCTCTATGAATTATGCATGCCAAGGAATGACAGTGGCAGCATGGACGTACAAGACTTATGTCACTTCTCTCCCAGAAAAAACGATTGGAATCTTCACTTAGCTCCCAGAACTACGGCTGGAATCTTCATTTTGCCTAGCTTCCGCGTAACGAATCGCTTAAGTTTACTTAAGCCCTTGTCAGGGACGCTGGGTGTGTTCTGCGTGGTCTTCGTCATGAAGGTAATGGTCATCTCATCATGTTCGCCGTGCCCGTAGTTTCCCAGATGTTTCTGAAGCCCCCATCAAAGCGCCATTGTGTGTCTGGCTGGCTGCGCAGCCGAGCCCGACCCTGTGGGCGGGTCGGAGAGCCTCACTGGGTGCTCGCTGCCGGGCGGTGGTGCCGCCGGCTGCCGGCGAACAGTATGCCTCACTGGGTGCTCGCTGCCGGACGGTGGTGCCGCCGGCTGCCGGCGAACAGTATGCCTCACTGGGTGCTCGCTGCCGGACGGTGGTGCCGCCGGCTGCCGGCGAACAGTATGCCTCACTGGGTGCTCGCTGCCGGGCAGTGGTGCGCCTCACTGGGTGCTCGCTGCCGGGCGGTGGTGCCGCCGGCTGCCGGGAACAGCGACTGTAGCCCGCTCCGGCGCGCCAGACAGCTGCTACCCGAATCAACAGGCGCTGTGCACCCCTAAAGTAGCCATCGCTGATTGCCAATTGGTACGCTATCCCACGGTTTTACCACGTAAAATGGCTCAGAAAATCACGACCTGTTTGAAAATCACCTTCGCTGAGGCAATATTTATTTATCCACGATCATTGCACTGGTCGAGTTCTTTCAGAGCGGTGATGGAGGTGCGTTGGTAGCATTGGTGAGCAACGCTTCGCGGAATTGAATGCATCCAATGCCAGATGTCCTGGCGTAAGTGATTCCGAATTCCTGGAACTTTCCTGCCGGGATGAAATAATTTGCCTATCGTTTTGCATGGCTTAGGCTCGAGTAACTGCTCAAACATTCGCACGTTCATGTTCAGCATTTTCAGCTCATCTGAGTGCTGCACATAAAACTTGCAGAATTGCTATTCTCAGAGATGGAGACAGTTGTGTGTTTACGCATCCGCCGGCTCCAGACAGCTGTCTGTTTTGGCGGGCGCCATCTTCAGACAGCTGTCTGTTTTCGCGGGCGCCGGCTCCAGACAGCTGTCTGTTTTCGCGGGCGTCAGCTTCAGACAGCTGTCTGTTTTCGCGGGCGCCAGCTTTAGACAGCTGTCTGTTTTCGCAGGCGCCAGCTTCAGACAGCTGTCTGCTTTTGCGGCCGCCAGTTTCAGTCGGCGCTTCAGTAGCTCATTCGCTCGGCAAGCATAACGAGTAGCTGCCCAATCAACGCAGCGCAAGGGCCGCTCGATCATAATGACGGCCGTCTCGAGACAGGCCGTCGGTGATGTCGGAAGGCCGACTGGGCGGCCGGGTCGCGGGGTATTTAAGCCGGCGTACGCAAGGCGTAGCACGCCGCTCATGGAGGAATCCGTCGGGGCCAGAAATCGATGCATAGCTTCAGTCCACCTGTAGCGTCAGCGCTCAAAACTAGTCCGCTCCCAGCACCAGTAGTCAACATCCATCACGTTGGTCCACTGCAACATCAGTCCACCTGCATTATGTGTGTTCCACATCAGTCCCACTTCCATCACCAGTGTTTACATTAGCCCACCCCGTCGCGTTTGCTCTGCATCAGTACGCCTCCATCACCAGTGTGCCACATCGTCGTCATTCGGGTGCTATGCTTCACTCATGTTCGTCCACGGCAGCAATGCATCCCAGTAGTTCACCCCAGGCCTGGTGCGCCCTGGCATATGATAACCGGACTAGCGACAGGCCCGCCGCGCAGCCGGCCCACCCGTGCCCCACCACCGGCCGGCTGGCAATCGGTCGACACGTGCGTCACCGCTGCCGACCTCGATTGTTAAGGGGTCGTTTCGGCCGCGCCAACGGTGCTCCACCCCGCTGTTTATGTGCCGAGTTCGGGTGGAGGCGACCCTTTTTACGGCAGAAGTTGCAGTCGTTACCGGTGATTGCCTTAATTAGCCGTGACGCAGGTGGTGTCTCCACTGCTTGAGCGCGGTTGGAGCCGAGCCGAGCCGAGCCAAGCCAAGCCAAGCCGAGCCGAGCCGAGCCGAGCCGAGCCGAGCCGAGCCGAGCCGAGCCGAGCCGAGCCGAGCCAAGCCGAGCCGAGCCGAGCCGAGCCGAGCCGAGCCGAGCCGAGCCGAGCCGAGCCGAGCCGAGCCGAGCCGGGGCGAGGCGCTCTGTGTTCGACGGAGGCTGGTGCCGCTCGTGAGGTCTGCTCTCATGCCGTTGGCTTGGGAACGTTAGCTCCAGTTTTGCTCTATATCAATGAAGGTTCCGGTAAATTAGCAAAATGATATCTTTTCAGGCTATTTGCTGTCATAAACATTGAAATATACAGCGCGCAAGGGGTTCGACTCTAGTCTCATTTCTGTCCATGGTGGGCTCTAATGCGCTGCTTTAATAGTATCACTTACGCTTCCACAACAGCCATGTCTCAGCATACACTGTTGTTCGCTTTGCTTTTTCAGGTCTTTCATACTTTTGCTTGCATGCAGGAACAAAGCGTTTTTCATTCACATGAATTATAATATTTATATTAGCTCCGATTAACACGCTACTTTTATGTCATCACTGCCAACTTCGCCAGTTAATCATTGAGTGATTCTCTTCCGTGGCCTTGTTATGGCATTTTCGTTATCAGTGGCCCCATTCACTCAGCTCTCTGTAGACCTGTGATCGATGGCCCTCCCACCTCCGACTCATGTTGCCGATCATTGATCTTTTTAGCACGGCGCCCAAACCTGGTGTTAATGTAAAATGATTCTCGTTCGTGGAAGACCTGCCTTTGCCCTGTCCGTTGGCGAAAGCTCATGCGTTGTGGTAACGGCACAAGCACATGCTGCAGCATTTGAATGTAATTATTTTATTAATTGATGCACGCGCTCTTGGAAGATAAGTCTCCTCAATAAAGTAATGATTTTCGACCAAACAAATGGGTGTGTACCTCTTGCAAACAAGATACGAGACGCTTGATAAGATTCATATGCCTTCAACCGACGGCTTTACAATGTGCATCATAAACAAATCCACGTGTTGACATGTATTCGCATTCGCTTGAGCACGTTGTCGATGCTATTACGGAGACGCATCCAATAGAAGTGTATGATTTGACACAAATGATGCCAAATCAATGTTGTGCGCACAGAGACGAGACGAGATGCGGCCGTGCATGCAGGGGAGATTTTTTTAAAAGACTGCTACAGGTCTATGTTCTTTACATAGTTGACGTTTTCTGGTAGAGTGGTGTGAGATTATACTTGTGCTTACTTCATGCCCATAGCATTCTCGAACATTTTTTAGTCGGCGAGGTACGGCAAGATACATCGATTTATTATGGCAGCCACATTCATTCAGTGTATATCCGTTTCCGCTTAGACCTGGCATTTGGTTGGAACGTGAAATATCAACTAACAACTACATGGACGTTTAAGGATAAAAACCTCCTGGCGCTCCGAATGAAATGGCAGGGCTTTTGAGGGGCTCGTTGGAAGCACTGGGGCCGTTAACGTAATACCACACGTATGGCGGCTGTCCGGTGTAACGTAATACCACACGTATGGCGGATGTCCGGTGTAACGTAATGTCACACGTAAGCCGGCTTTCCCCTGTAACGCAATAGTGCATGTATGGCGGCTAATCCGCTTCATGTAAAACTCAGATGGATTAAACTGTGGAAACCTTGGAAAACACTTAATCGAAGCGTGTCAAAGTTTGAGGCTGGCTGTGCCATTAATGGCCCATTAGTATGAGTGGTTCTAAAATGCACCAGACCCGACCGGGAGCAGCACACCTTGGCGGGCCGGCATCTGGAAGTGACGTTTAGTCCACTGTTATGGAGTAGTTGGGGTATCTGCATATTAACCATTCCACTTGTGTGTTAATGTCTGCCGCTTGGATGGAGGCAACGCGCGTTGCACAGAAAGGTGCGGGTCACTATCCTGTCTTTTTATCGGATAAAGCTTCACTTATCTTTAGCGGGTAAAAACGTTGCCTGAAAGTTTTTGGTGAGAATTTTAACTTGGCACTTTAATTGAAAATGCCGTGATGTTATTCCATTTTATTTTAGATGATAGCTTTCGTTACTAGCCAGTCATATGTGGTCTGTTGCGTCGCTTCCTTAATGGAGTACATAGCTAACTATGGACGAAGGTTGCCAGCGTCAGCCATCCCCCAATGCATCGAGCGTGGAGCTTGGACTGCACAATTCCGCGATTACCGTGTTCCCATTACCCCACTGACTTTCATAATGCTGCTATTCGACACACTGCTCCGGAGCAGTCCTGAAATCAACGTTAGCGGCCGGTATCCGGCGCTGCGGGGTCTCGGCGCCCCCGCCGTGACTTCGGCCGCGGCGGCCGCCCCGCAGCACTTAACCTGGGACGCAATGGGCTTGCCAGAGGCGCCGGCCGACACACGCGGCACGCCGCCGCTCTGTTGTCGGCCGTCGCGGCTGGCGGAGCCGGCGGTCGGCCGGCGCCGATGAGAACTCCGGCAGCGGCTGACCCGGCCCGCCCTTCCCCCATCGACCAGGCCGTGGCAGCCGGGCCCGGCCACGCGTCGATGACCCTCCCTGCGCCCCAAAGAGATCACGGACTCATCACCCGGGTGCCTGGTGCACAACGGTGTCTGCTAGGCCGCTGCCTCAAATGGCTGGCTCAAGAATGACAGACTCTGAGCTATTAAATAGAGTAATGGGCTCAGGTACCGCACAAGACTTGTTGTTGGTTGCCTTCTGGCTCTCAGGGCGAATGGTAGCCGGACTCAGTTGACATCTGAGGTCATCAGGTCACGCTTGATAGAAGTTGGCTGTCACATTTTCCG